GACATTCATAAAGAACAGTTCCATATTGAAAGAAAAAGGATCCAGGTTTTTATGGCTGTATCTACACTAAAAGAAGAGCGTAAAACATTGGAAAAAAACGGGGAGAAAGGGCCCTCTTGACCTGCTAAAATTTATTCAGCAGTATAGGTTGGGAAAATTCTGCTCCCAATTGTAATTTTGTTAAGAATTTTTTTGTTAACAATTTCAATCAGTGTCGCTAGTTGCGAAAGAAGCTTCTCAAAATTGAAGTTGATAAAAAATTATCTTCGTTCTACAATGAGTCAATCAAGACTACAAAATCTTGCAATATTGTCAATAGAACAAGAAATTACAAATAATATAAATTTTGAGAGCATTATACACGATTTTTCTAGTATGAAAGCTAGAAGAGTAGATATTATTAAATATGTTTACGAGTGCATACAAATAAGTCTAAAAAATTTACTCTCGTGTATTAATTAATATTGATTAAATAACGTTAATAATTTATTTATATGTATTAATTTATAAAAACCACTATTTGATTGACTTATAATAGAAAGGGCGGCAGACTGGAGATCGCCCCGGGCGGCAAAAGTTCTAGGTACGCCACTGGTCCTACCCAAACGCCTCCAGATACCAACACCCGCCTCCATTTTGCCATCAACCAAAATGCCTTTCGCGTTTGAAGAGGAGCAGCGCGTTTGTCCATAATATTGAGACTTAGAAGTCAGGTCTCAAGGCGCGTGGCAGCGCTTACTTTGTTGATTAGTTGAGTTCCGGTAATCGCTTGAAACCACCTAAGCAATAAAAAAAACATGTGTGCAATTCACACATGGTAGTAGAGAAACCTTCAAAAATTAAAATACAATTATCCTAAATGTCTAAGTTTAAGTAAAATTTTGTCATTAGTAAATAATTGTAAATCATCTTTTATAGTATGAGGTAGCGCCCTCTGTGTATTGATATTGTAACTTCACGTATAATGTGTTCTATCTCATTCTCTCGCCGGATGATTCCTATACATTTAGGTGTTTGTGTCTCTATGGACTTCGATCAAATCATTTATTTGACATTCAAATTCTTCATTTAGTAGGTTACACGGTATTATACACGAATATTTTCTTACAAGACCATGCAATTGATCGAAGCGTTCTTTTATTTCCTTTATAATTCTGTCCATAGATGAAAACATTTCTCTTCGTACTTCTTCTTCTAAGGATAGCCCCACGTCTTGAGAATTTTCCCCACTCATATTTTTTCTCCTTCTAACTCGACGCTCTGTCGATATTTCCATCTCTTCACAAATTATTTTGGCAGCTATAACAGCGTTTTGTACTAGCGTATCTCTTTGTTCCATTAAATGTATTTGCAAAGAATTTAGTTTTATATGGCATTGGTGGACATTTAACCCCTTTATTTGCAGGTATTTTTGAGCGTCATTAATTTCCAAAAGAATGGATTCCCATAAATGAAGGTAACATAGAAAAGAAAAAGATTGCATAGAATTGAGTAATACTCCAGCATCTGATCGCGTTTTACTATTTTCTTCTTCAGATGTCAATTTTTCCAAAGCGCTTAAAATGTAAAAAAAATGTTTTTTTACTATAGTTACCGCGGCAGCTCTAGCGCTCCAGCGAGTTTCTACACTACGTTTAACACCTTGACCAGTGACCGAAAGTAAGACATTACATCTATGAGTGGAAGAAGAAAACAACGAAAACAACTGTTCGATAGTTCCAAAAAATGTGATGGAATTGATAGCTGTAGAAGCTGCGTGCAAACATGCCAGGTTTAAGGAATGTTTTGTACATGCTACAAATTCTGCATTTGGATTTATTTCTTTAATGCGAGTTTGAACACCGCTGTGCTTTCCTGCCATGACGGCAGCATTATCGTAAGCCTGTCCTCTGCAATTTTTTATATCTAAACCGTCATTTTCCAATTTCGTTAAAATCATATCTGTGATTTCAACAGCAGTTTTTCCTTTAGTTTCTACAAAGTCAATAAACGATTCTACAACTTTAACTTCGCTACCTTCAATAACTACATATCTAATAATTTGACTGGTTTGATCTTTGTGTGACATGTCAGGAGTGCTATCAAATATAATACAAAAGTATTTAGCCTGCTTTATTTGATCCATAATTGTTTTTCTGACTGCGCCTCCCAATAGCTCTATGAATTCGTTCTGAATCTTCGGCGACAAATAAGAGAGACTATATTTATTACCCATCTTAATTTTTACTACATGTTCTCGTAATACTGGGTCGTACTTAGCCAATAAGTCAATAACCTCGAGAAAATTTCCTCTATTTTCCAGTAAATCGATGTTTTCCTGATGAACACTTTCACGATGTCCTCGAAATGCCAAATTTTGTTTTGCTAAGAATCTAATTATATCAAGTATTCTTGTTAGAACTTCCTTCCATTTTTTTATTTTTTTTTCAATATTCTGTTGTTGTAGTTTGTCAATAGTTGCTCCACTTCCAAGTCTTATTTCTAATTCCTTCCATTTGTAATATGATCGGATGTGCAGCGGACTAACCTCATGTTGACTAATTTTAGGATTAAGTTTCCACCATTTGTTAAATAATTTACCAATAAATACTTTTCTTCGATGGTGAATATACCATCCACGATCTTAAGAGCTTTTCGCCATTAGGCAAAATTTGAAAAAACCAGTCCCGACTCAGTTTTCTTGTTTCACCTTTGGCTTTGCTTGTATTATTAGAACGTTTTATTTTTTCGCTGAAGTCGGCGTCTAAATTTTGAATTAAAAAGGGACCTTGACGTACCAGAAATACTCTTGTATTGTCGTCAATTTTGTTAGGCCATAATCCAATATCTTTCATAGAAACAGACAGAACAATTTGTGCAGCAGATTCTTCATCAGGACTTGATAAACTTTCTACTTTTTCGCCAGTGTGTGAAGCAGGTCTTTCCTCTTGAACAACATTGGATAATGTTTTTTCGCTTTCGAGCGCTGCTTCTTCACCCATATTTGAGGCAACAATACTAAAAGAACTAGAAGTTGGCTTATGAGAGATGTATTTGAGTAGTGCTCCAGTGTTTTTAATCCGTATTTCCTCCCTTTTCTTTCTTTTCTTTCTAAATGACGCACCGCTTTCTTTTACTCGTTTCATCCTAGGGATATATAATAAAAATATAACTTGTCGAAATAAATAGTATATTATGTATAGAAAACGGCAAAGTCATTTTACTTTGCTGAATAACATCTATATCTACAATACGTAATACAATATGCTTAGCAATTATAAATTCTCCTTCTCTTTATATAAAACCAACAAAAAAATACACTCATACGCAGTTTTCATTGCCATACGTAACATTTAAAAACGCGTACAAAAAAAGTCGGTTCGAAAATAAGATATCTCAGAGTGCCCCAGCCCTTAATTTGCACCAACGGACACTTCAAATTTGAAATTCAAAATTCTTAAAAGTTAGTTCACATATTTTACTCATGTTTTTTACTATTCCGGCTGATAATTAGTTGATCTAACATATTAATCGCATTTAGTATGATAAAACAGGCAAAAAATAACAAAAAATGAGAGTAAAATTATGGCGTCACTAACGCCAAAATGTACCACCAAATGTATCGGTTTA